ACCAAATTGGTGGGGCGCGTCTTGTAGCATAACTTCGACCCATCCCTTTCTCCGCGAAGCCCACACTCGGCCTCGTCGGCTCACGCACCGACGATCGACAAACGCCTAGAGTACCTTCTGTACTCGCCACTCTGCCCGGTGAAGCTGGAAAAGCTCTTCAAGATAGCAGCGCGCGTCCCTTCAAAAAAAATAATTCTCGCGGTATCGGCACGTGCCCGGGCGCTTCTCTCCCCAAACCTATGTTAGGTTACCGTCCCCCAGCAACGCCCTAGGCCGAGGTCCGAGCCCCACTCGGGGGCGCCCTTAGGCTCGTTGCCTAAATTTTGAGGTTGAGAGCCATCTGGGCTCACCGCTCACGGCTATCAGCTAGGTCCATCCGAAAAAAAAAGTAGCGACTGTAGCTGAACAATGATATACGTGTCCACCCTTATAGTTCATATGTTCGTTAACACACTTTTTTTGTTTCAATTATCCTTGCCAATGTCGCTTCAAAGCTTTGATCCGAGCGTTGTGGGTCTCATTAAAGCTAACATGCTTCTTCAGTGTAATAAAAGTAAATAAGAAAAGGAAGATTATTATTAAGCGTTATATTGCTCAGTTTATTATGTAAGCATCGGCGTCGTCTTTAGTTTTTTTTTTTTGGTTGAATTTAATCTTCTCAGAATTCGATTGAGCTGAAGTTTTCTACATATTTACTGTACCAAAAATAATATTTTCAATTAGGTACTTTGAAAGCAAAAATTATTCAATAACTTATACTTGAATATACCAAAGAAATCTTATTTACTTTCGCTCTATCTTTCTTTCAAGGAAGCAGATTATTATGAGGAATTTCGTTTATATGTTTCATTTCAATTTCAAAACCACTAAAATCTCTTGAATTTTTCGGTTACAATTTTCACCAAATAAATAAATCCTCCACCACAAACCATCTTAAGAAACATTTTAAATATGTAAATCACGCATAAATACGTGTAAATACTTTGTTAAGGTGTTGTTAGAAAAATCCCGAAAGATTACAAAAAGGTTAAAAGATTCTGTGAAAAATTACCGTATTTTTTTTAAATCAGCATCGATAAAGTTCTTTTAAATATATGAATAGGTGGTTAACTTGTAATTATATTTTCTTATCATGGCTACTAATTTTCAGGAAGAACTGAAAGTCATCTATAAGATTTTTGTGGAACAGACCATGCTAAGCTTTTCAGTGTTAGAAGATTATTTTGTTAGATTTTTTTTATCAATAAAAATGTTAATTTAGTACCCAAAGTAGCCATTTCATTATATCAATCAAGTAGGTATATTAACGTTCCAAAATCCATTAATGTCCTTAATCCAGTGCATGATGCTTTAAATCTTATTTCACCGCCTTAAAGTCGAAAGTCCTTTCTGAAAGTACCTACATTCGCATTCGTCTTCGGAGTAGGTACATTAAACGTGGCGTGAAGCCATATTTCTCAAATTTTTCCGCTAATAACGAAGTGTTTGCACGACGAACACTGAGTGATGACCTGACATTTATTTCGTAAATACATCGCTCCGCCATTGTTAGCTTCCTTTATGAAGAAAGATAAAATATTTCCTGGAGCGCGACGGGTCTGGCGGGGAAATGTCGCGGGCCGGGGAAGGTTGAAGGTTCGCCACAAGAGGCGGCGCAAGCGACTGGCGACGAGCGAGCTTAAGATTCTACGAATTGAGACTTGCAATGAGTTAGAGGATGTCCACTGGACATTGTCCAGCATCCCTCGATGAAGTGTCTTTGGCCATTTTTTATTGGACAGGAGGCAAACGATCAGATTTTAGAGTGCAGGCAGTGGTAGCATAAGCTTGTGTTAATCAAAATCTATGTGGACGCCAGTTGCGTTTACAGTGTTTCCGCGCCCCCAACTTGCGGTAATGGCACGGGCGTTTCTAAAGGCTCACTCCAGTCGTATCGTTCACAGTGATATAGCGACTGCGCCTGAGATTCTAAACCATTTTGATTCAGCTATCGAAGCAAGGCACTGTGTCCGCTCCCGCACACGCTAGTGCAGTCTGATCAAAGTCTTAAGACTGAGAATATAAATAAATAAATAAATATCCTTAGACATTTTACACTGCGCTTCTAGTCCCACACTAAGCAAAGCTTGTACTATGGGTACTAGACAACTGATATTAACATACTTAAATACTTTTTTTTTTAAATACAGACTTATTATACATAGAAAACACCCAGTCCAATACAAACAAATATGTTCATGCACACAAATGTTTGTACTGTGCGGGAATCGAACCCAGATGAATTTATGAACAGCGCCTTACAACTTGTTAAGGTAGATTTAGAAATCTTCTACAAAGCAAGGATTACAAAATATCGAATCTAAAACAAGTTCACGATAAAGTGGTATTTAGCCACTCTGTTAATTCTCTACTGGACTGTGATTCTCCAACGACTATCCTTTGGGCCATCCTCAAGTTGCCAGCCGAGCCTTCACAAAGGGGCATACCATCCTCACAGAATCGACGGATATTTACGTTGTAAATTTTACTACACATGTATCGAATTACGTACGTAGTTGTCAGTCAAATAATATCAAAATTATTCCAGCTGAGACCCGAGTTATTATATTTTGAAAATTTTCTTACTTTAAATTACATTGGAAACGATATTTTAATTATGTTTGCAAGAACATAATCTTTGCGATGAGAAGAAAAAGAAACTGAAATCGTGCAGTAGTTTGAGGTTACCTCAATTTTTAGGTGACAATATTATTGCGATGAAGTTGTGATAGGAGTAGAATACAATACTTATCGTTCGTTCGTTCGTTCATTTCAGCCGAAAGACGTCCATTGCTGGACAAAGGCCTCCCCCAAGGATTTCCACAAAGACCGGTCGTGTGCCGCTCGCATCCAGGTACCTCCCGCGACCTTCACCAGATCGTCGGTCCACCTACAATACTTAATATGTCAAAAAAAAATACTGTCCCACATGAAAACGAGCTTTTTAAAGAATTTAGTTTTATTCAAACTGCCTAAACTAGATTTAGGCTGGGTTGCACCATCTTACTTTAACTTAGACAAACGTCAAAAATCTGTCAAACTTCATACAAAACACACCGGTTATCGCTAAAGTTACGGTTAAAGTCAGTTGGTGCAACTCAGCCTAAATGAAATCGTATCAATCAATTAACTTTTAACTTCCATGATCCTGGTAATATTATACCATCAAAGTCAAAATCACTTACCAATTTAGTACTCGCTACCAAACCATTGCCACCATAGAGCACCGTAGTGGTATCACCTCTTCATCGTAATAATTTTATTCGAAGCTTTACTTCCAGACATTGCATCACAAAGTCCACCCCTCGACCGTCGAAGTCGGTCCCTCCCGCGACCTTTACCAGTTCGTCCGTCCATCTATAGGCGGCCTGCCCACGCTACGCTTCCAGCCCGTGGCCGCTACTCAAGAACTTTTCTGCCCCAACGGCCATCGTCTATACGAGCTATGTGTGTGTATGGAAAAACTTAACACGACTAAATAACTAAGTTGAAATTAGTTGAGAAATTACAGGTAAAATCTAAAAGCGGAGGTAGTTGAAAACGCTGGCAACACCGCGATCGTGCCCGGGGCCTCAGATTAAACATCACGGCGCCGAAACTTGTAGCAAATAAAACGCGAAATTTCGGATTTTCTGCGCATGTATTGAGTATAGTTTGGTAAAGTTTTAATGGGTCTTGTTTGATTGATAAGTATGGTACAGTTTGATGTTTACCCAGTTTATGGGACAGCTTGGTATTCGAATAAAGTGGTCATGATAAATTAGATACCGTTAGACCCAAAGAAATGGTGAAACAAAGTAGCGAAAATGCAGCTCTAATTGCATATGGGTAGGAGAGACTAAATTACTAGTTAGTTACGGTTATTTTATATTTTAAAAGGGTTGGTTTGTAAACGTCTATTATTTTGGGCCAGCCAGTAAAAGATCTGTTAACACTGTTGAACATTATAAACACGTGCTTGTAAAAACAACAATATAAACGCTCAAAGTATAAAGATATCTTTTTATGTCTATTATACTGTTTACGCAAATTCCAACGCAGTAACTATAACTCGAACTTAAGTAATACTCAACACTTCGCGAGTAAGCTCTCAGGATTCCCGCGAACATTGTTATGTGAGCCAAACGCGAATATTACCCAGTTTCTTTCTTTGCCTTATCAAAAGATTGCGAATAAAACTTAATGCGGCCTCATTTTCCGTGGCCATCAAAATTTTTTCTTTCAACGAAACAACATCCATGTCTCGAACAAGAAAAAACAAGCATCATTTTAATATCTCCTCCGAGAGACTCCGGCACTCACTTAAAACTCGCAAAGATTGGACTTAATCTTTTCTCAACGAAAGGAAACTTTTCAATCGGATTTAACTCAGTTCCTTATCTAATCGCAAAGTTACGTCAAAATTTCGAACCGTTCCGAACTCGATCGAAGTTGGGGCTATCGAGGTGTTGAGGAAAAAATATTCCTATTGACTCGTTCCATAGACCGAGTGGACAATAGACAGTTTTCATAATAAATGTTTTTGTCATGGCACATCGCCGCAAGTGGAATTGGATCGGCCACACTCTCCGAATGGATCCCAATCACATCCTCACATGCTCCAAACAGGCTCTGGATTGGAACCCCTAAGGAAAACGCAAACGTGGTCGTCCCTAGCAAACTTGGCGGCACATTATAGCAGATAAGGCGAAGAAAATCGGCAAGACCTGGAGCGAGATCAAACGCGAAGCTCAAGACCGAACGCGATGGAGTACTGTTGTGGACGCCCTCTGCCCCATCTAGGGGACATAGGAACTTAAACAACATCTATGAACCTAATAATAGAGTTGATTTTGCCACAAAAATGTAGAGTCTGTAGTGCTGTCGTCTGTAGGTACAAAATCGTTAAGTTATACTGTCCATCGTTTACCTACATTTTCGCAGAAACTCACTATTTTCCATATTTTAGATTATTATTCTCGCCGTTCACTCGATCGGACGTGTCAGCGCTATGAAAATAAATATTTAATTTAACTATTCACTAGCAAAATCGCGACCTACATTATCGAAACTCGGAAGTGTTTTATCTGTGTCATTTATTTCTAATTGAACACTGAACTTATAATGATTTGTGTATCGACTTGATAATATGGAAGGAAGTCCCTTCAACCGGAGCGCGCTCACGCAGCGCAGCCCTCCGCCCACGCCCACGCGGCACGCGCCGCCCGCCGCCCCCGCCGAGCACGTCATGGAACCACTCGAAGTGGTGGCCACTTCAGAACTCCAGAACTGGATGAAGAGCATCGAGCAGTGCCTGAATGAGGTGTGCATAATCTCATCGGAAGGAAAACTCAACACTGACCAGAAACTGAGGATTAGTAACCTGTGCAGAAGGGTGAGCCATGGAACATCCCAAATGGCCGTGCAATACCAGTCGCTAAAGCAAAAGGCCATTCAAGCTCATAGCAACATACAGGTCCTTAAAGAAAATCAAGACGTTTCACAGCAACTTCAAGACCTCAAAAAAAGCATAGAAGTGACCTCAAAACCTATCTCGGGAGCGTTTTCCTTTGCTGAAATGGTTAAAAAGAGTCCTGTCAATTTTATTCAGCCCAAAAACTTCAGTTCTGTGGCGATTTACCCGAATGATAAAATGAAGTCAAGCGAGGAAACCAAGTCCCTAGTGCAAAAAATAATTAAGCCCGAAGAAATGAAATTGCACGTGAGAGGTCTACGGAAAACTAGAGATGGCGGCGTTATCATCAGCACCAACTCAAAAGACGACATCGAGAAGATAAAGCAGTCAACGCAATTAAGAACATCTGGCCTCATCATAGACGAGACGAAGAAACGGAAGCCTAGGATTATAGTACTGGGAGTTCCTGCTTCCATGGATGAAACTGAGGTATTTAAATGCATATACCATCAAAACCTAGCCGACAAACTTCAAAATACGTCACTGGAAGCGTTCATGTCCTCTATTAAGCTAAGCCATAAATCAGGGAGGAAAGACACCGAAACCTGTAATTATGTAATTGAAGTCACAGCTCAAATACGGAAGACCTTGATAGCAAATGACAGAGTTTTTGTGAACTGGTCATCGTGCCCTGTTAGAGACTTTACCCTAGTGACAAGGTGCTACAAGTGTCAGCAGTATGGACACGCTGCTAAGACCTGTCGTGAAGCTAATATCACTTGCGGCCACTGCGGAGAAGTGGGTCACGCATTAAAGGATTGCAAGAAAAAGGATGAGCCCTCAAAATGTGCGACCTGCTTGCACTTCAAAAAGCCCAACAATCACAAGACAGGTGACGCTGAATGCCCTGCTAAGAAGCTAGCAGAAAATAGATATATTAACACCATAGATTACGAAGGCGCTTAAGAGCGCCCCCTGCGAGTTTATGTTTGTCTTGATGTCAGTTTTATCATTAGCTAATTTACTACCTAGATTGTTTAAATTAACTTTTACCATTAGTACCTACTAGTAGTTAACTCCATAATTAATCACAGAGCTGTCCCACTAACCTTTTATCAAATTTACCTTAAAAAACCCGAATTGCATTTATATCTAGAGTAAAAAATAAATAACTTGTATGATTTCTGCAACATTGACTGTGACCCAGTTTATTATTTTTGTTTACGCAGACACTGTATGTTGGATGTTTTTAATAAATTATGTAGAACAAGCAATATTATGTAGCACATTGTATTGATTTTAAATCTTAAATGTAACTTGTGTAGATTTTAATTTTTAATTTAAATATTATTATGTATAAATATTAGATTATATATTTTGCTAGAAATAGTTCTATTAATTAAGTAATGTAAGCCTCTTTTTTGCCTGAGATACAGGAATTATAATTCTTAGTTCAGGCACGTATGTACTTTTACCTATTATAGTTTAATATAAGCCTATTGTTAAAAACTGTCAATAAGTTATTCAATAAAGAATTTATTTATTTATTTATTTATTTATTATATTTTAAAAATATTACTTTTATTTTCATCGTATTAAAAGACCCAAATCTTTTAAGAGCACGCTTTCAATTTGGCTGAAAAAGCGCGGTAGATAATGAAACCTCAGCTTTTTATTTCTAGGACAACAACACTAATTTTAAAGATGATCAATCTTTCATTTCCAAGAAATAACTTATGATACCTGCTTGTAATTTTAGTAGGCTTCAGTAGTTATTAAATATATATTTTTATGCATGACAAGGCACGTATTTGACCGCAATTGCACCTGGTGTTAAGTGAGATGCAGTCTAGGATGTATAAGTACATATCTGCCTTGTAAGTGCCTATTCACTCTCGCCTTGAAAAGGTCCGGATTATAGTGTTCAGGAAAGACAGCAGCAGGCAATTCCAGTCCTAGGGACACGTTCATATTATAAAAGAGTCAAAGTCAAAGTAAAAATTTCTTTATTTTTTTAGACTAATAAATAGTTCTTACAAATCGTCATTTTGCTCTTAAGGAGCCTCTACATGTCTCATAATCTTTTTACCCTACCAGCGCTTCGAGACCTACATTTGGCAAGTGCTGAGAAGAAGCGCCGCAACAAACTCAGTCACCACTGTCTGCCGGTTAATATGAATAAATAGAAATAGCAGTAGTAGGTACATTCGATTCAGGAGCAGTTCACTGAATTTACCATGCATTCTTGAATAGTGTATCAAATCAAATCAAATCAAATCAAAAAATATTTATTCAGTTTAGACCACAAGTGGCACTTATGAACGTCAATATAATAAAAAAAGAAAAAGGTAGCCCTTATGGGGCACTTTACATGTCTCCTTATCTTTTGGGCCCTACCAGCGCTTCGAGACAAACATATCCCATCAAAAACAATACTTGTCAAAAAAACCAAGTCTCGCAACTCAGTTGTTCTACGGTAAAAAGTTGTGAGATCCATGTAATACCAAGTCCAGGCCAGGAAATCTTTAACGTTTTACATAAATATATTGACTTGGCCATCGCACTAAATAATTTAATTTACACGTGTTTTCATGCGATGGCCAAGTCAATATATTTATGTAAAACGTTAAAGATTTCCTGGCCTGGACTTGGTATTACATGGATCTCACAACTTTTTACCGTAGAACAACTGAGTTGCGAGACTTGGTTTTTTTGACAAGTATTGTTTTTGATGGGATATCTTTTGGGCCCTACCAGCGCTTCGAGACAAACATATGGCAAGTGCTGAGAAGAAACGCCGGAACAAACTCAGTCACCACTTATTGCCAGGAATTATCTAACGGTAAGAATAGTCAAATTTAAGTACATCAAATATGTGCAGACTGAACTGACCACGCATCCTTGTCATCAATATAGTCTCGAACCTTGTAGTACCCTTTGGACATAAGGGTATTTTTTATATGTATCTTAAATTTGTTTATTGGCAATTCGACAAGGTTGTGTGGTATTTTGTTAAATATGGTAATACATTTCCCCAAGAATGAATTACCTATCTTATGCAACCTAAATGATGGAACAGCAAGTTTATTCTTATGTCTCGTGTTAAATGAGTGGACGTCACTTTTCTTAGTAAATAAATGTATATGTTTACGGACATACATAATGTTATCAAATATGTATTGCGAAGCCACAGTCAATATATTGATTTCTTTAAAAACTTCTCTAAGTGAGTCACGTGGTTTAAGACCGTATATTGCCCGAACAGCTCTTTTCTGTAAAATGAAAATTGATTCTATGTCTGCTGCTGAGCCCCACAGTAAAAGACCATAAGACATAATACTATGAAAATAACTAAAATATACAAGCCTTGCTGTATCTTATAATGGGTATACAAAATTGCGTGGTATATTAAACAAGGTAGAGACGTGCTAATATCTAGACTTACAGATTACATACCTAAATACTAGTAGAAATGACTCGCATACATAAATTGGAATAACTTGGATTGACCAGTCCCCTAAAGCAGCGCCTGTTCACAGACATGACAAGTCATCGAAACGCTTACTTATTAGTGGGTTATGGCCAGAAGCCCTTCTATCGGGCCTGTCCACTTGTCCACAGAATGTCCTCCGATGCAATGTTCAATAAAATTATTAATGGAGCCGCGAGTGATTGTCCTAAATTCAAATTCAAATTCATTTATTTGCACAGGAACATGGCTTTAAAAGGCTTACCCACGGCAATCCAGTTTTAAAGGGTCCAGTATTGCAGTGCCCCGCATAACTGGACTGTCGTGTGAGCACAATAAGTAGGTATGTGTTTTAAATTCGAATTCCAAATTCAAACGGATCGGGTATTTGCGGTACTTATACCACTAAATGGGATCCTGCAAAAAACGGGATGTCACCTTGGGAAAGAGACTTAACCTGGACATTCATCAGGCGACTCTTGTATTGCAATCCCACATCTATTAACAACTAAATAAGACCCAACTTTGTGTCATGTCCACGCATTGTACATGCCCAGCAGTGGGCTTAATACTGCGGTGTCTATTACTTCTCAACCTGTGGACGTCGCTGACAAGTGTTCACGACACGCGATAACGGTATTTTTGTCGAAAAAACTTTTCAACGAGTTTATTTTACTTTCTACTGTGCGTTGGTTTCGAGCCACACCTATTGGAGCTCAATATTGTTTCTAAACTTTCACGGTCATAACTGAGAAAAATTTTTGGTGGTTGTCAACTGAAATTTCAGTGTTTACGTAGGTATAACTTTTAGTTACTAATTAGGTTAGAGTGTCAAGAAATTTGGTAGAGTAACTTGCTTTTAATAACAGAAATACTCACTACTGACCAAAAAATTTGCAAGGTCAAGTAAACTCGACTAAAACGGCCAGTTCAGACTCGTTTAGCCAGCGAGCAAATGAGCAGACTGAGGGCGCTACTCGCCTGTCAAAATAGAACAAAATGGATTAGCTCCACTGAACCTAGTAACCTACTCGACTAATTTTTTTCTGTTCGAAGACGTTTAGTTACTAAATTACTCGCCACTCAACTAAAATACTCAACTAGTGTGAACAAGGCTTTACGAGTCAGTGTTTTATCCAAAGTTAACTAATAGTCAACTATTGTTACTAATTAAATAAAAAGTTAGCGAATGAAAAAATTAAGCATCCCTTTTTGTGTAGGTACGTATCTCAAAACGTATTCATTTACAACGTCGGTTTGAGGATTGAACTCGCTTGATTTGTCCTAGGTTGGATTTCCATTCTGTTGAACTCTCAGATTCACAACGTCAATCGTGTGTGTTTCACTTCGTTATAGAACAGTAAACCCCTCGGGACCTATTCATATTCCAGGAATATGATGTTGTGGCTAGGTTACCCGAGAAGTTTGTAACTGGTTACCATGAAAATAATTCTTAGAATCCAATGATGGTATAGACTACCAACTACAAACTTATTTATTTACTCTACACTTATTATAGGGGTGGAATTTTGTAGTGCCACCTGGAGGCAAAGTACTTCAGATAGAAAATTTTACTCAAAGAAAACATTCCTTTATTTTTGAAAAGAAATATAACTTGATAGATATAAATGTATTTAAACTTAGTGGGTTGTTAGCTAAGTTTAAGGCCGGGTAACAGTGAAAATGGCGAAAATGAGGTTTTCATTTTTCATTTTTGAGGTACTAAACAGTAAAATAAAAGGCTAAGATTTTTTTTGGGCATAGTTGAGGATATTCTCTAGGGCTATTAACGGATGGAAACACGATTTGATGAAGTTGACTCGATAGAATAAATTCCCAAAGTTACCTCTATTCGTTTTCTAATAATGGTTTTATTTTTAAAATAAACGATTTGAGATTCTGNGATTGCCATTGCCATAACCTCTATAAGCTCATCTCACCTTCTTCACCTTGTAGGTGGACGTCTTAACAACAATAGCTTGGATAAGTGATACAGCTCGGTAGAGTCATCTAAAATACCTTAGTGCCATAAGATGAAAGTCTACATCCAGTGTGTGTTATCAGTGATGACAAGTTGTACTGACTGTAGGCGGCCTCTCACTGTAGGCTTACGAACCACAAAGTTGCATAGTGTACTATGGAGTGGACTATGCTTGTTTTTTTTTCATGCAATCAAATCTGAAGTAAGGAGATCCGTAAACGATCTAAAGTCGCATGGTGGCATAGTCCGATGTTTTAGCAAGCTGAAGTGATAATGGGCAAGACACAAAGTATACAGAAATGATGGCCGATGGGATAGCACGTTTCTAGAGTGGAAGCCACGTGCCGGAAAGCTCAGTGTAGAACGTCCTCCCACAGGCAACAGTCCTCATGCAGGGCGCTACCCACCGGTCATTATGGAAATCATTGGGAGAGGCTTATGTTCAGTTGAAATGATTATGATGATGACAAAATATTATGGATATATACTAAAGTTTCAAAAAAATGTTTTTTCACGAATTATTGTGGAATCGTTGCATTTTCTCGTAACAACAGATGATTGTTTTTGTTATAATATGATTATTTTCTTAATTTAGAGCCAATTGTACATAAAGATTATAAATTTTATTTCTATTTTTGATTAATATGTAACAAATTCTGATTCATATGGGCACAAAATATTTGAACGTCGATATCTTGAAAACTACTTTACAAAAACGAGTCCCTTATCCAAATATATGTTATTGGGTGTACCTATTTTCATATGAGTCTATGTTACAAACCTAAAATTGAATTTGAAATTTGTCCATATGAATCAGCCGAAG